TGGCACGGGGCAAGCACTATGGGCAGTCTATCTGAAGTGTACCTGGCATATAAGACGACCCCCCACTTGGAGGCATATTTTTCAGGGCCAAAAAATCATCTTATACGCCAGCAAATACGGTATATATTATCAAATACAGAAAGAGGTGGTGTAAAACAAGATATAGCCCACTGGCTAAATCCAGCCTGCCACCTGTTTTGTATATACAGTTTTGTTAGAACATGACGGTGACAATTTGCTTAAGTATAGCCTGTGGTTGCTTTGCTTTCTCACTATAAGGGCAGAGTTGAGTAGTTGTGAGAGGCTGTAGGTCCTGCAAATCTAAAATATTTACTATCTGGCCCTTACTTCTGCTGACCCCAAGTATAGATGACAGAAGCCAGAGCCCTACTGTATAAAAGACTGAAGACTTGGGTGATAGTACCCGTTCTGTCATGTAATTCATTGTGTGGCAATGAATTCCAGAGCTTCTTCACCTTTTAAAAAGGAAGAAATACATAATTGGAGCAAATTCAATTTCAACAAGCAGTTTGAGCACTGCTTTATACTGAGCCAAAGAAAACTGATCTCAAACTGGCTTAAGCAATCCAAAAATGTATGGGCTGTGCATCTAAAAAGACCAGAGAGTAATGGGCCTTGGGGAGGTTTGACCTAGTGATTCAGTGGTGTTACCAAGAAGCCTTTTTTTTTTTCATTTTCTCTACTGAGCTTCCTGATGTGCCAGCTTCATCATAAAGCTAACATTTTCTCATTGTGAAATGGCTGTCAAAATCTCCATAAGCTAATTATTTCCTTGTTCGTGTACAGAAAGAGAAAGAAAGAGAGATTGGGATTCTGAGCATACATCTCTCTCAGCCTTAAACAGAAGTCCTGTGCCTCAATGTAATTGGATCAAGTAAGGTCAGATGTCTACTCTTATCCAATTACATTGGCCAAAGAACCAGGCTCCTATTTGCCTATTGATCAATCAGAATCTATCTTTGTTTCTGAAGGAGAGATCAATCAATTTCCTCCAAACCACATGGCTACCACCCAACATGAAAGGACTACAATTAGTCCTGGGGAGGGTACCACAATGTCCACTACAGAGGGCAAAATAACAGGAAGGGTGCTTGCAAGAGATCAGAGAATTGAGGCAAAGTTTCAAAATAAGCTGTGCAGTCTAGCTTGTTCTGGAAATGATCTTCAAAACCTGTCCTTCCTGTTGGTTCATTTGACTAGCAGTAATTTAATGTGTAAAAAAGTCCCTTTATATACACTGCTGCTCCCAATACTTGCTGATTTAACAGATGTTCAGCTAGGATTTATCTAAAATATATAATAAAATGGAAATATTCAAGTAGTTACGATTCACATTTCCTTTTTCTTTCCTAGGTGCTAAATTATATGCTTCCTCTTCAAAGCAAGAAAACAGTGGATGCCCTTATCTCTGAGGCCCAAGATGCTGAGTATAAACTTGAATTCATGCCAACGACCACCATAGAATATGTTAACAGCTTAGTATTTCTTGATGAAATTCAGGAAAGGGTGAGTTGATTCATATAACTCAATATGCCTGATCTCGTCGTAGGTAATCAAGGCAAATAAAAGAAATTCAGAGATTGAAGGTCAAGAAATAGTTGTCAAAATATCAGAAACACTTTTACACAAAGTAAGTGGATGTCTTCTATCACAGCAGTGATAACAGCTAACATTGATCAAACTCAGACTACTGGTCAGGCATTACACTACATTTTTTACATACATTACATTTTAAGTCCTCACAAAAATTTAAGAAGTACAGATCATTTGTATTCTTATTCTGCAAACGAGGACACAGGGACTAACATAGGTCATGTTGTCCAAGATCATAGAACTCGTATGTCGTAGAGCTGGAATTTAAAATTGGGTCTCTGACTGCAAGGCCAATGCTCTCAATCACAGTTTAGTGATAAATGGTAATAGAATTGTAGTCTAGATATTAGTCATAATGGAAGTCTTGATCCTTAAACTATATCTGCATAATAATCAGGAACCTGACCATTACAAATGAAAGAAACCCTTAAATAGAGAGGTGGGGTGGAGAGGCAACAATAGATATGGGAACTCAAGTGATGCAAATGATGGAGTTAGCTCGCTCTCTCTCTCTCTCTCTCTCTCTCTCTCTCTCTCTCTCTCATCATTCTGCCTGAGTCACAGAAGGCTCTGCAGAGGGTGGGTTATTTATATACAAAGACCCAAGACAGCATGACAAGAGCAGGATACGACCATTGATACTTGTATGCTATGGAGAGAGGGTGTTTGGTGGAGAAAGCTGGTGAACTGTAGCTAAAGCAGTATTTTCAAGGATAGGAAAGAAGGAATGGACTCTAGAGATGTTAGGTAAGTAGAATTGAAAGGCTTACTGGACAACTGAATGAGGGGCCAGCAAGAGAAGTCCAAGATAACTCCTGGGTGTCTTTCTACAGTAAATGAGTAGACAGTGGTATCATTAACCAGTGTAGGTAGGGGCAGGCCATTTTTGAGAGTGAAAGAGGCACCATTAATCACTCTGCCAGGACAAGTGCAAACCAGGATACTCCCATAGAAACGTGGACTTGTGCTTACTCTAAATACAAGGAACACAGGAAGATGGACAGATCTTGGTGTACAGAGATTTAGATCTATTTAAACTTGTGTAAGAAGTTAGACACGTTTGGATGAAAGTAACAAAAACACATAATTCGCTTAGAAAAAGAGAATATTCTAAGTTGGCAGGGGTATCTTCTGGAGTTTAAAGGCATGGATAGAGCCTAGCCTTTAGAAAGGACAGAAGGAAACAGAGCAGCCTGAGAAAACCAAAAAGCCTTCTCTTTTTCCATCTCTCATCGCTGCTCCTCTCTAGAACAGTGGCTCTCAAAGGGTGGTCCCCAAACCAGCAGCAGTAGCACTGGGGAAGTTGTTAGAAATGCATATTCTTGGGCCCCATCCTAGACCTCTGAATCAGAAACTTGGGGGAGGGGCTGAACAATCTGTGTTTTAACAAGCTTTCCAAGGTGATTGTGATACAAGCTAAATGAGAACCATTTCTTTAAAAGCCTGCCTGCAGTTACTTTCTCATGGTAAGGACTGTGTTCCATTTCCACATGAAAGCAAATGGCCTCTGCCAACTACAGTTTCACTCTTGCCATGTTGAAGAGAGAGGTCAGACTGATCCAGGTTCTCATCCCATTGGATGCTGCTTGGTTCAGCTTGTGGCCAGGAGGTTGAGTCAAGTTGTACAAACTTGGCTGCTCTATCTATAATAACCACGCGGCAGAGTTTGGGGGTCCCCCCAAAATTGGAGAATCCCTTGCCAGAAAACTAGGAGAGATGCTGTCCACTGAAGGTACTGAAGGTAAACATCAAAGTGAAGATGTTTAGTAGTAAGTTGGAGGTAGTAAAAGTATTTATAAAAAGATAGTGAAAGGCTCACCATAGATCAGAGTCCTGAATCTATGCAGCCAGGTACATGGCCTGTCCGCAGCTCAGAAGCTGGGCTGAGACAATCACAGCTCAACACACATCTGAAAGCTCTGATACTGTGACAGAGCACATGTTGTCTCTGAAAATACTCACACCTTTTAATGCTAGTAGAGAACAAATGAGAGGACAGAAAAATAAACATTTATAGGAATAATACTAACTATGCTCAGCTCTGAACAACTCACTTCCTGGGCCTGATTACCTGTACTCTAGCTGTGACAGTCCTCACCACCCAGCAGACTTCAGCCACACTCCATGATGCCCGGAGGCTCTCTCCTATTGGACGAAACCTAAGGGCCATAGTGGGACTCGGATACATTTTACAAGCAACCAATGTTTCTATTTAGATCGAAACCCTTGAAGACGAAGGGAACATAGTGATTCAAATGTACAAGCTCATTGAACAGTATCAGGTTCCCACGCCTCCTGAGGACTTAGCTGTTTTTGCAACTATGAAGCCATCCATTGTTGCTGTTCGGAATGCCATTGATAAATCCGTGGGCGACAGAGAAGCAAGAATTAAGCAGTTTTGTGTGTATTTGGGTAAAGATCTTGAAGAACTAACCAATGAAGTGAACGAAGTAAAGCTGCTGGCACAAGTAAGTCAAGGAAGAATTTTTAAAAATAATCTGTGTTCAGTTTGACTGCTACCTTTTAATTAAACCATTTAAGGAGCATATTTCATTTTAATGTGATTTAACTTTTACTTTTTATGGTTTTATTCTAACCAAGTAACAAGGTCTTTGAACTGCTATTTAAAATAAAAAATGTTTCTGAACCTTTCTTTTAAGTACTGAATAAATTCCAGACCATTGCAAGTAAAGCATATATGGAATATTAAAATGTATTTCTCCTGGCTTCTATTTATTATTTTCAAATGAGTGTTTTTATAACTTTTTAGTATATTTTAAGCTATTATCACACTTTTAAAGTTTTCTTAGCCACATATTTGAAAAATTCCATTTAGGAAGAGGCAGAGGATAAAGTGATAAATTATAATGAAGACTATTTGGTTAACTTGCACTAATTTTACTTTACAATAGATACTGGGGAATTTTTTAAAAGAATTTAGAATAGACATCTGGGTGATTCTTTTTTTTTTTTTTTTTTTTTTTTTTGGTTTTTTTTTGTTTTAGCTGAGCCATCCTGCTACCTGTTGGCAGCTCAGTGGCTGCTCAGCTTGGGCTGGACTCGAACCACTGTTGCTCAGAGCTCAAACACTTGAGCAAGCTCTTAATCAACTGAGCCACTCAGCCAGCCTTGGGTGATTCTTAACTGAAGCATACATGAAAACATGATTTGTAATGATACATTGTTTTATTATTAATATTGACTAAAGTTTATCACAGAAGTATAAAACAGTATGAAATTATAATCAAATCAGAACAATTGGAAAAAAGTCAATGCCCCTCAACAGAGGACTAATAAACTGTTAGGGTACATCCACTCAATGCAGACATTAAAGATTACAATATACATTTATATATATTAACAGGGAGCATAAAAATAGCTAACATTTATTGTGCACTTACTATGTGTCAGGTACTAAAGTAGTTTTGTATTTTTGCACAGAGAAAACTGTACATAACTGTAATAACAGCATGACTCAGTGAATTATCAGAAAGTGAACATAGCCATGTGCCCACTACCCATGTCAGTCACTATAACGTTACTGGTACCTTTAGTATTTGTATGGTTAGTGATAAGGTCCTCTCTTATCACTAACCCTTTCTTCCTCTCCCAAGGCAGTCACTACCCTGAATTCTAAGGCCACAAATTAGTTTTGCGTGTTTATAAGCTTTGATTAAATAGAATTACACAGGAGTGTGCCCTTTATTTGATTTTCTATCATTCCTGAGATTCTTCATGTTGCTGTGTGGGGATGTAGCCTATTATCCTTGTTATTATATAGTATTTCATCATCTGCCACAATTTAATTATCCATTCCATGATCTATGGACATGAGGATTGTTTATAGTTTTTGACAATGATGAATAATGTTTCTAGGAACATTCTTATATTCATTTGCATGTTTTAACTCATTTAATCCTCAGAATACCTATCAGGTTTTATTATTCACCTTTTATAAGGAAACCAAGATACAGGGAGACTAAGTAAGTTGACCAGGGTCACACAAATAATAAACAGAGGAACCATCATTCAATCTTAAGCAGTCTGCTTCCAATGGTTAATAATCTGCCATTAACTGTTGTGCTACATACTGCATTCCTTACAGAGCAGACAATAAAATGTATGAATAATTATTCTTAGTTTAAAATAACATGTGTGTATATAGAGAGATTGCTAGAGAGAGCAAAAGTGCCAGCAAGTGCTTTATGTGTAATCATGTATTTTAAAAACCATGTTACACCCCAGCAAGTGCTTCTTCTATAGAGGGTTTGGAATTAGTTCATTATCACTCAAGCAAAGCAATGCAACTTCATTATTTCCAGAATGATAATCATCTGACTGTCAAGACCACTGCTTCTGCTGATGGAGGGAGCTGGAGAAAAAAAAAATCTAAATGTGACAATTGATGATAACTCAATTTATTTCACTTTGAAATGTCAATTTCATTTTAACTTGGTCTCTTCGAGACAGATTTTAGTTCAAAATCTGAACGCCCTATCAGGCACTTCTTCACCTTTGTCACCATCCCCTCGCACCTCTTGCTCCATAGGGGAAATCTGTATTTCCGCCTGGTGGGTGGCAGGTCCTCTGGCTGCCTTCTGGACAATAGGTCTTCCAGTGCTCTTAGCTAACGGTCTTAGTTTGCTCTTAGCTAAGGGTCCTGGTTCTTTAACTACCATGCCAGCCCCTGCTATTGTCATCTTTCATTTCTGCTGTAGTCCACAGTCTTCATCTATGGCTTTCTCATCCTGACCTTGGACTTCTTCTGGTCTACCAGTTCCCACTGCCAGAATCAAGGCACATGGGAACTTCAGGATTCCCTACATACCAGTCCAAGCCATGAGGCACCAGAGAGTCAACACAAGCCCCTACTGCCTAGACACTTCCCACAGCTTTCTCTAATCAAGAGCATGTTGTCATGATGAAGGCAGGGCCGTGCTGGATCAGAGATGGAATAATTGGTCTCCCCAAGCTATGGCTATAATAGTTCTCAGATTCTCCCAGACCTGGTTAGGAGTTTCTACTTTGTCCCTAAACTTTTCCTTTCCAATTCACTGGGTGGGGTTTCAACCCCAACAGGTCAACCAGAAAACATGTCTGGCCATTTAGTCTTTATTTTCTCTCTTCCTCCCTCTCAGAAATTACAGGCTATCAGTTTCCTTTATTGTAAAATGGGGGTTTTCCTTACATTATAGCTTCTTCCTTCTTTTCCCTGTTGCATTCACCTGACTTTACCTGAAATCGTGTTTGTTGAAGAAGTGTAAGAAATGAAAGCAGCTGAGGGAAAATACCGGGGGTGCCAAAACAATGTATACAAGTGGACACTTCGGTCAACGTTGCTCAAGCAGTAGTTCACCGTAATCAGAAGTGTCTGGACGCTGATGGTAACCACTTTGAGCACCTCTTGTAATTGCAGAAGTCAAATGTGACTCATATTCATCTTTTGTTATCAGTATATATTGAGTGCTATAATTTTAATACAGTTTTCTTTTCTTAGAATATGTATGCATTTTTTGGTACCCTCTGTATATTAGCTACTATTTAAAAATAATGATAGCCCATGGCACTTCTTTATACATTTCTATCCTTTTTACAATATATATGCATTGCTTTAAAGTTCAGGAAAAGCGAACATTTAAACATATTTTATAAAAATCAGAGAGAGAAGAGAATTAGAAAAATATTTTTTTAAATGTTTGTTAATTTAATTTAATGGCCTACATCAAAAGATAGGAATGACTAATCAAAAATTGTCTTAATTTTACAGGATCCGCAGATTTTGGATGTCAGTGCTGACCAAAACAAAATAAAGTCTGTGTTGAACGATCTGCAGTTAGTTATAGATGATCTCCAGAAACGTGCATTTCAATATAAATCTTATCAGAAACATTTTAAGGTAATGACAACTCTACATCTTTAAAATGTATACATGCAAGTGGCATTCATGCACAAGCACTTTCAACAATGTGTCTGTAAACATGTAATGTTTGGACGCCTGTACACTAGTCACTGTGCTGGAACAGCCTGAAACAAATATAATGTATTCCCTGCCTTTGAAGTGTTTAAAAATTAGTACACATGAGAGACAAAATATCTTTCTTATTAAAGCAAAATATCTTTCTTATTAAAAAGTAATTGTGAATTATAAACAAACTCTCAGACCAGAGACTATAATAATGTCTATGTTAAAATGTATGTGGATTTTTAAATGTGGTCAATGAAAGCCCCTCTAGTTTTTCCTAAGTAATATTCAATATTCTTTTACATTCATGTGTGTGTTATGATTCCATGAATATGACCTTATTTGCCCTGGTATGACGTGCCAATTTGATGAAAGAAGAGAATTGACTAAGCCAGAGGATAGATGGATCTAAGAGGTAGATTTGAAAGGCTAAAAGATATGCTTAAAAAACAAAACAAAACAGAGAGAGAGAGAGAAGTGAGTGAGAGCTCTCAGTGCTCTAAACAGCTATTAGGAAGACCAAAACAAAAAGAGAATAGAAAAGATTTCTACGGTTAGAACCAGGGGGACCACCAACACTGAGGGAGATGTGATTCATCTCCCCCAGAGTCTTGGAGGAGTGCCTGAACGTCACATGGGAACACACCCATCCCTTCCAGGGCCCCAAGTGGGTGTCCAGAAAGTGGTCTGAGGAGGTATCCAGAGCTCAGGGGAGGTGAAGCAATCTACAAAATAATGAGTTTGGCACTAGACAATGTGACTTTTGCAATATTTGAGGCAGGAGGTTTGTGTACAAGAGAACTAGGGTTCAAAGCTATTCCCAGGTTGAGTTAGCTCACCTACCAGATAGGAAAGTATTCAGTAGGAAGTGAGATATGGAAGAAATATTCCTTGATTAAAAGCTACAACTAACACACAGATGTTGGGAGCTGGCTGGGATCAGCCAGGGACACTGAGGCTTTAGGTTGGCAAGCTTGGGTCTCCAGGTAGATACAGGCCTGGGGTGAGCGGCCTTGGAGCAGTTTGGTGGGGACTTTGGGGACAGTGCTTCTGCCTTAAACTGCTTCCAGACAACGCAAGTGCAAAGAGTAAAGACCCCAGCTTGCTGATAGAAAAAGCTTACGGACTAAGGGACTCAGTTGCTCATGGACTATGGACTTGCAGTTTCACATACATCACCGCTCTGGGACTTTCCACCATGGACCTGCTTCACATGCTTGGGACTTTCTACTGTGGACTTGTAGACAGTTTTTTTGTTTGTTTGTTTGTTTTAAAGATTTTTATTGGGGAATTGGGGGATGGGAACAGCGCTGGGGAATTGGGGGAAGGGGAACAGACAAGTTGCTGTCCTTTTGTTCTTCAGTTTAGTTGTGGAGGACGTTGCTTCACTGGCCCAAGTTGGCACCATTATTGTGCTCTTCCTGGGTGAGGCAGATCAGTCGCTGGCTGCAGGCTACACACGGTAGCCCATGGCAACCCACCTGCCGTCGCTGGCGAATCATGGCAGCCCAGCTCCAGGTCGAGCTGTTGTTCAGCATCTTAGCTGTAGAGGGCAGTGTCACTGGCCCTCATATGTGGGATCCCAACTGGGACCCTCTGGCATCCCAAGCCAGCTCTTAACCAACCCGCCACTCGGCTGACCCTGTAGACAGTTTCTATTTGCCTCAGTTTAACCTTGCCTAGCTATATCATTGGTTTTTATTGTGTATAACATAGCTTGTTGTTGAGGAGAAATTGTTTCTCCTCAGCTCATGAGTTTTAGCTTTACGGAATCGCTCCCTAAAATGAGGAAATTGCTTCTCCTTAAGAATCTTGTATGCCCAATAAACGAGGTCTCAGTTTTGACACCAGAAGACTGAGTCCCTCCTGTCCCCGCACTTTGTCTCTCTTCTCTTTTATTTCTCGTCTTCCACCCAGTCCTCTCAGGGACCTGTTTGGTGAGCTCCTGGGTGACGAGCCAGGAGCGTTCGGTTGAGCAAGCTGGTCTCGTTCACATAGTCACTCCATGGGTCATAAAAAATAGCATTGCTTGAGCCAGCACCTGAGATAGGAGTGTGTCCCACCCTTTCCAGCTCCATATCTACACTTGACTAATTCTTCCTTTATGATCACTTCACATCCAGCCTTCCTTCTGAAGCTATCAGTCATTTGGGTGATAGGAGTGAAGGCCTAACTAGCCTAGGAAATAATTTCTAATGCTTAATGAAGACAGGGCTAGATTCCTAATGTCAGGGTAATGCTGACTTCATAAAGTGAGTTTGGAAGTGTTCCCACCTCATCAATTTTTTTGGAAAAGTTTGAGAAAGATTGGCATTAATTCTTCTTTGAATGTTTGGTAGATTTTACCAGTGAAACCATCTGGTCCCAGGCTCTTCTGTGTTAGGAGGCTTTTGGTTACTGAGTCAATCTCCTTACTCATTACTGGTCTGTTCAGGTTTTCTATTTCTTCTTGATTCAGCCTTGATCTGTTGTTCCCAGGGATTTATCCTGTTCTTGGATAACCTATGTTATCCAATTTGTTGGCATACACTTGCTCAGAGTATTCTCTTATGGGTAGTCTCTTATGGTTTTGTGTATTTCTGTGGCATCAGTCTCCTCTTTCATTTCTGATTTTATTAATTTGAGTCTTCTTTCTTTTTTTCTTAGTAAAGGTTTGTCAATTGTGTTTATCTTTTTGAAAAACCAGCTCTTAGTTTCATTGGCTTTTTCTATTGTTTTTCTGGTCTCTATTTCACTTTTTTCCACTCTGATCTTTGTTATTTCCTTCCTTCTGCTAACTTTGGGCTTAACTTGTTTTTCTTTTTTTATTTCCCTGATGTGTAAAGTTGAATTATTTATGATATTTCTATATCTTAATATATGTATTTATCACTATAACCTTTCCTCTCAGAGCCACTTTTGCAGTATCCTATATGTTTTGGTGTACTATGTTTTCATGTTCGTTTGATTCAAAATATTTTTTATTTCTCCTGATTTCCTCTTTGACCCACTAGTTGCTCAAGAGTGTGTTGCTTAATTTCCATATGCTTGACATTCCCTGGCTTTCTTCATTAATGTCTAGTTTCATATCATTGTGGTTGGAAAAGATACATGGTATGATTTTAGTCTTAAATTTCCTAATATTTGTTTTGTGGCCTATCATATGATCTATCCTTGGGAATGTTCTGTGTGTATTTGAAAAGAATGTGTATTCTGCTGCTATTGGATAAAATAATCAAAGCCCTAGCTTATCACAGAGCTCACAATTTCTGTGCAACCAACCCCCTGGAGGTTTCCCCACCTCCAAGCTTAACCAGTCTTAAAGCACTTCATGAAAACACCTTCTTCAGATTTTCCTGCAACCTTTCTCCTGTAGGGTTCATATACAGCCCATGGGGTTAGAAAGAGGTAATAAGCCAGGCTGTCCTCTCCATGTTAAATCTCCAATTTCCCCCTCCACCCCTACCAGCTATGTACAAACATCTTCTTCCTCGTCTATCATCTACGTATATAAACCCTAAAGAAAATCGGTGCCTCTGAAGACTCATCTGTTTTCAAAAAAAAAAAAAAAAAGGCCAGGCATATATATGCACATATGATCCAACTTGAGGAAAAATGCTCATGTTACTCTTGTAATATTTATGTCTTTGGAGAATATTTAAGTTCTAAGGAAACACAAAGAGTTATATTTTGTCACTCAAATGGAGATTTGAATTTACATGGGTTTTGTAATTTTGTTTTTCATTTGTTCCTATTTTTTCTTTTCTTTCCCCATTTAGGATTCCACCCCTCCTCCCCATATGCTGCTTAGTCACTGTATTAAGAATTACTAATAGAAGGATAATATAAGGTCTTTATATCTGAAAAATAAATAGTGCATTTTGCTTATTACATTTATAAAGGTAGAAGTGTCCACGTTTGAAACTTTGGAAGAAGTTAGTGCTGAATTAAAGCTCAAACAATTGCTCTGGGATTCTTTATCTGAATGGGATCAACTTCATCAAGAATGGTTAAAGGTAAAAAAAAACAAACTCAATTCTTAAATTATTTTTGTATTAATTAAACTTACAATCCTAATATTACAAATTCTAATTTTTTAAAAATATAGTATATTTTTAATTTCAATAAAATATGCAACGTTATAATTCTATGGGAATTATTATCCATTTTCTTAGTGAATGCACAAAGGCTTTTCTGTCCCTATATACCCTAGAGCAGAATGTGTTATTGTAAGGCAGGCTTCTCGGGTCCTTTAAGAAGGCTAAATGAAGGAGACACCCAAGGCCCTTTAACTGCTTTGCGGTTTTTAAACACAGTGTCGTCATGATACACTACACCCAAGTGTTCTTGAGGGTTGTAGGTTTTTATTTGTGATCTACACACTTTAGATTTCTGCTAGCTTAGGTTTTTATTCTTCTTGTCCTTTAAAAAAAAAGAAAGCCTTTTTGTTGACGGTGATAGAATAGAATCAGAGTAATGAGCTCTAGGATCTTCCTTTGAGAGCTCAGTAGTAAATTCTGTTTATTAGGGAGCCACGTCCCACAGAGTTTGCTTTCTAGGGTCTACCTTTGTATTCAGATCTTTACAAGGGTCAGCCCTGTAGAAGGCGGAATAGATGACTATCCATACTTTCAAGTGTGATATGGACATGTTAGAAATACCATCACCTTCAGCAATACTGTTTTATACTTGCTCACTCATCCTACCTATGCTGATAATTAGTTAAACTAATTAAACTATCACTGGGTTAAACTCAGTGATACAGGAAATGGTTCCCAGATGATGATTTAGCTGCTGGGGACAAGTCCCAAACCCTAACAGAACTTACCTTTTTGTGGGGTAAACAGAAAACAAACAAACATGTGCTATAATAGCAGAGACTTTCAAATACACTTGTATAACTCACTTATCATTTATCTCAAAAGTAGAAAATGCTCCTGAGGAATAAAGAAGAAATTTAGAGAGTTTTCTGATTACCACCATAGATTAGAACAGCGGCTTGCAAACTAGGATGAATTTACCATAGGAAATGCACAAAAAGACCCATGAGGGATCAGAAAGAAAATATTGAATCTGGAAAAAAAAAGAAGAATGAAGGTTTACAAATTTTCTATTGCCTTCAGTCCGTATGATCATCTGACATGTCAATATATGTGTAACCTTATATGTTTATTGAGGAATATGTTTATAGATACATGCATATTTGGGGGTACATCTTTAAATCAATCAAATAATAGGAGGATACTAGATGAGAAATTTCTAGTTAGCAAGAGTGAAAATTAGTTATTTGTCTCCTTACAAGGTTTGGTCCTCCAGAATAAATGATAGGAATTGCAATACTGCATTTGATGATGTATGAGACAAGGACATGAAAGGAATAAACAAGTGATGCCTGATATACTATTGGCAATCTTAATAAGTAAAGCCATTTCCACAAGTATTGAGTTGACTTGGATTAGCAATTTAACTACTGGAAAATCTGAGTAAAGTAAAGATGTTTACTATTTAGAGCTTGGCTTTTATCATGTATTAATTTCTTCTTATCCCTAATTTTTATAGTCCAAATTTGATTGCTTGGATCCAGAAGTCCTAAACAGTCAAGTTTCTAAATACGCCAAATTTGTGACTCAGTTGGAAAAAGGCTTGCCGCCCAACAGTGTAGTGCCCCAGCTAAAAACTAAGGTGGAAAAAATGAAAGAAAAGGTAAGTTTGGTAAAAATTATTTCAAGAACTCCAGGTCAATCAGTTCCTGCTTGATGCTAATTAAACCAAAGTCAGGAATTGTTCCCTGTTTAAAATAGTCGGCTTTGCAGAGTAAGAAGAGAGAACAGACAAATTCAAACTTTTGCAGAGGCACGGATTGCACCCCTGTCTTCAACTGGCCAAATCATGCAGCTGAATACCTTGGTTAGAAGGGGTAGTCAAAGTAAGTTTCCTGAGTGGTAGGGGAAATAGTGCAGGAGTGGATTGTGGATATGCCAAGACAGCAATGCACTCAGCCTATATAGACAGCCAGATAAGGCTAGGGCAGCCTGTCTATTTACACCACTGCACCAAACAAATATGCCATTTTCCAGCTGTGTCGTCATGCGAGGAAGGTTGGGAAGCCTGGCAATAGGTGTGTAGGGCTGGCTCTTAGAAACCCATCACTGCTAAACCAGCACTTGAAAGGGGAAGGGAAAGGGAAATGATTTTACCCTTTTAAGCAGTTTTATATTCTTTTAAAAGAGATCAAGGACTAAAAGAAGACTTGGGTAGGAAAAAGTATGCAAAGCTTTAGGCACAATGAGAAGCAAATGTTCCTCCTTGAAAATAATGTTTTTGAATTTTTTCCCCTTTAGCCTTATAATATCTAGTCTAAACACTTTTCAAAAGTTACTTACATCAACTTCTTTCTTCTTTATTGCCCTTAGTGTAGTTATATCATATAATTGTAAACAAATTCATTTGTCACAGTCTGTGTTCGTCTTTTGTTCCTTCAAAATCCTGGTTGATTTTTTTTTTAACTTGCATACAGAAAAAGCCACTTTCTGTGATGTACAATTCTGTGGGATTTTACAAATGGGTAGAGTCATGTATCTAACACAACAGCGCTATACAAAATAGTTCCATCACTCCCAAATTCCCTTATGCAGTCTTTTTGTAGTCATCCCCACCTTCCATCCCAACCCCAGGCAACCACTGATCTGTTTTCTGTGCCTACAGTTTTTTTCTTTTACAGAATATGATATAAATGGAATAATACAATATGGAACCTTTTGGGTCTGGCATTGTTCACTTGGAAAACGCATATAGGATTACCCAGAATACATAACATACTCTTATAACTCAAAAATAAAAAGACAACTTTTTAAAACACACAAACGATTTGAAAAGACATTTCCCCAAAGAAGATAACATGAAAACACATCTTTAGTCATCAGGAAAATACAAATCACAATAAGATACGACTTTGTACCCCTAGAATGGCTAGGATCAGAAAGACAGGTTATATAACAAGTGTTGGTGAGGATCTGGAGAGACTGGAACCCTCATATATTTCTGGTGAGATTATAAGGTGATACAGCCTCTTTGGAAAAGTTTGGCAGGTTCTCAAATGTTAAACAGAAAGTTACCACATTACCAAGTCATTCCACTGCTAGGTATATACATAAGAGAATTGAAAACATATGTTCACACAAAAACTTTTATATGAATGTTCATAACAGCATTATTCATAATAGCCAAAAGTAGGAAAACCCCAAATGTCCATCAACTAATGAATGAGTAAACAAAATATTATATGTCTATACAATGGAATATTATTCAGCAATAACAATGAATAAACTACTGACATATGCTATGAGTATGACATTGGTGAACCTTGAAAACATTATACAAAGTGACAGAAGCCAGTCACAAAAAGTCTACATAGCATATGATGTCATTGATATGAAATGTCTAGGATAGAGAAATCCATAGAGAGAGAAAGTAGATTTTTTTTTAGTGGTTATCAGGCACTGTGGAGAAGAAGAAATGGGTACTGATAGTTAATGTATATGGGGTTTCCTTTTGGGGTAATGTAAATTAGATAGTGGTGATAGTTGCACAACTCTGCAAAATAGAATATTTTTTTTAAAAAAAGATTCCTTGGTGTTACATGAAGCAATAGTTCATTAATTTTTATTGCTGAGTAGTATTCCATTATATAGATTACCACAGTTTATTTATCCATTCCCTTGTTAAAAGACATTTGAATTTTGTCCATTCTTAGCGTGATTATTAATAAGTTGCTATAAACATTCATGTACAGCTTTTTGTGTGAACATACATTTTTAATTAACTTGGGTAAATAAGTAGAAGTGGGGTTGCTAGGTGGTATGGTAAGTGTATCCTTACAAGAAACTACCACAAAGTTAAACAGAACCAAAAAAGAAGGAAGGAAGGAAGGCAGGAAGGAAAGAAAAGGAAAGGAAAGGAAGGGAAGGGAAGGAAAGGAAACTGTCAAGTTGTTTTCAAAAGGCTGTAGTGTTCTGCCTTCCCACAGGCAATGTATGAGAATTCTAGTTGTTCCTCATACTCGTTATCATCAGGGAGTTTTTTGGTTTGGTTTGGTTTTAATTTTAGCCATTCTAATAAATGTGTAGTAGTATTTCATAATGGTCATATTTGCATTTTTCTAGTGACTAATGATGTTGAGCATCTTGTCTTACGTCTATCTGCCATCCATGTAACTTCTTTGCTGAAATGTCTGTTTTGATCTTTGCCCAATTTTTAATTCCACTGTTTATTCTGTTATTATTTAGTTTAACACTCCTTTATATAATCTTTTTCAAATATGTAACTTGAAAAGTTTTTTTCCCACTCAGTGGCATCTCTTTTCAGTCCCTTAACAGTGACTTTCACAGAGCAAACATTTTTAATTTGAATAAAGTCCAATTTATACTTTTTTTATGGATTATCTTTTTAGTTGTAGTATCTAAAAACTTCTTGCCAAATCTAAGGGTCACACAGATTTTTCTCCTGCATGTTCTTCTAGAAGTTTTACAGTTTTGCTTTTTTACATTAAGGCATATGCTTCATTTTGAATTATTTTTACATAAAATATGGGATACCTATTAAGATTTACATTTTTACATATGGAGTTCCAGTTGATTCAGCCCCATTATTTGAAAATATTGTTCTTTCTTCATTGAATCTCCTTTGCACCTTTGTCAAAAGTCAGCTGACTCTATTTTTTAGTCTGTTTATGTACTTTCTCTATTCTCTTTTGTTGTTCTATGTCTATTCTTTCACCAATACCACACTGTCTTGATAACTATAGCTAGTACAGCTTGAAATCAGGTAGTATAAGTTCTCCAGTTGTTCCCTCTTTTTCACAGCTATTTTGTCTATTCTGTTTCTCTACTTTTACATATAAATTTTAAAATTAGCTTATTAATATGTACAAAAAATTGCTGGGATGTGGGGTGGGGTGTTAAATCTGCAGATCAACTTGAAGACAATTGACACCTTAACAGATTGAGTTTTCCAATCTAATACCAGAGTATCTCTCCATTTATTTAAGTCTTCTTTTGTTTTTTTCATTAAAGTTTTGTAATTTTCAGCATACAAATTCTGCACATATTTTGTTAGATCTATAATTAAGTATTTTTTAAAATGTTATCCTAAGCAATATTATCTTTAATTTCAAGTCCTAATAGTTCATTGCTGGCATATAGGAACACTACTGATCTCTATATATTGATCTTATATCTTGTAAATCTTTGTAAATTCACATTTTAATTCTAGGAGTTTTTGTACATTATTTGGAATTTTCTTTGTAGAAAATAATTTCATCTGTGAATAGAGATGGTTTTATTTCTGCTTTTACAATTTGTATGCCTTTTCTTTCTTTTCTTTCTTTTTTTTTTTTTCTTATTGCACTGGCCAGGACTTCCATACAACATTGAATATGAGTGGTGAGAGGACATCCTTGCTTTTTCCTGATCTTAGGGAGAAAGCATTCAGTCTCTTTTAAAGCATGATATTAGCCATAGTTTTTTATAGATGTCTTATATTAAGATAAAGAAGTTTCATAGTTTCCTCGGAGTTTTTAAAATCATAAATAAATGTTGAAAATTATCAAATAATTTTATGCATCTATGATCAAATAGTTTTTCTTTTTTAATCTATTAATACTGATACGGTGGATTATAGCAATCAACTCAACTTTCGCATGTTGAACCAGGCTTGAATTCCTGAGATGAAACTCATTTAGGTTGTGATGTATTATTTTTATTTTACATTGCTGGATTCAATTTACTAATATTATTTGAGGATTTTGTGTGCCTATATTCATAAGGGACACTGATGAGGGACCAGTGCTTTCCATGAGAGTTTTTATTGCTCCCCTCTCCGACAGTAAGTCTTTTGTTCCAGAGTGAAGTCAGAAGAGATGGGTTGGGTAGAGTTACAATAGTGCCTGTTCCCTCCCCTGCCAACACCATAAGATAGGCTTTCTCAGGAATCGCCTCAATCTTCTCTATGAACGTCTCTATATTTGTAGCCCCCAGAGCCTTCACACTCTCATGCTACCCTACATTCAGTGTGTGTGTGTGTGTGTGTGTGTGTGTGTGTGTGTGTGTGTGTGTGTGTGTATTAGTTTCAGGTGTACAAAACAACCTAATGTTTAGACATTTACACCCCTCACAAAGTGATCATCTCCCCCAAGTCAACTACCTCCCCTCTAACATTGTCCATATCTATTACAATACCACTGACTATATCCCTAAAGTCAGTCTTTAGCAATTTGTTATTAAAATTTAGCTGAGTCATCTTACTCAGTTAAATGGCAACCCAAACTATCTGTCCTAGGTAATCAAATTCTCAGGTCCTGTTTCTTGCTGTGGTGAAACTGTGGGTACCAGTCCAGTCTCTTCAAATTTTGTTAGCTGGTGGCCCTGTAACTTAGGTTTCTGATCATTTCAATACAAGTCATTAATTTGCAGTTTGTTTAAATTTTTCTTTGTTGTAAGAGTATATAAGTGATGTTCTTTCCAGATTGCTACATTCTCAAATAAAAACCTGTGTTTTTCAAGATAAAAAGCATGGTGCCTCTGAGAGTGTTTGTTTTCCAGCTTCCAGTTATCACTGACTTGAGGAACCCAACTTTGAAGCCTAGGCATTGGACGGCTATTGAACAAACAGTTGATGCCACCCTAGTTGACCTTGACATTCCTATAACCTTAGAGAGACTCTCCGAGTTGCATGTTTTTGACTTTGGCCAAGAAATTCAGGACATTTCTGGACAGGCTTCGGGAGAAGCTTCGTTAGAAACAATCCTTAAAAAGGTAAATCTGAAAATATATATATTCTTAAGATTAAGGAGTGTAGAGATTTTCATATCACCAACTTTTGGGTTACCTGGATAGATTTTTCAACTATGCAGCTTTCACCCTACAATATCAGTTATCCTTCTGTTTTCTTATATTATTATTATTATTATTATTATTATTATTATTATTATTATTATTCTCACCTCTACAGATACCTTCTTTCTACTTAGCTTGTAGCCCAGCATGAACTTGATGGCAACAAAGTTTCAAATTTGCATGCTTATATAAAGAACTACATACCAAGGAAGATCTTTTATACCAAAATCCATCATCTTTCAAACTACCAGAGAAGGCTGTGTGAAATGCTTCAAAAGGCATTGAGAAACTTAGGATAATCTCTTTACCCAAAAATTCACACATACCTATCAATCACCTGTGTAAAAAGAATTTTTTTCCTTTTAATTAAATCATAGCAATAGGAAATACACATTGAAGTATCACAAGTTATTCATATATACTAATGTTAGTCAATAAAATTAAGCAAATCAGTATCATCTAAGAAAAGGATTTTAAGATTTTTAAATGAAGTAAGGAGGAAAATGGGGTTATTATGGAGTTTTTACTCATTTTATTCCACATGCGTTTACTGAATACCTAAACACACATGAACTTAGATATCCTAAGACTTGAATTATTTCTAAGGTGGAGGATTCTTGGAAAACAACCGAATTCGTCGTTCTCCCTCACCGTGACACCAAAGATGTATTTATCCTGGGTGGCACAGATGACATACAGGTGGGTAACTGGGTTATTGAAAGCTTATGTTTAGGATTTTGTTAAGAATTTAAAACTGAAAGCAACAAAGGGACAAGACAAACAAAAAAGAAACAAAAACTCACAGGCACAGACAACAGTTTAGTAGTTACCAGAGGAGAGTGGGGAGGGGGGTGGTAGAAGAGGGAAAAGGGGATCAAATATCTGGTGATGGAAGGAGAACTGACTCTGGGTGGTGAGCACACAATGCAATGTATAGTTGATGTATTATAGAACTGTACACTTGAAACCTATATAATTTTACTAACCACTGTCACCTCATTAAATTTAGTAAATAAACAAATTTTTTAAAAAAAGAAAAAAAGCTTACAGTAAAGGTTCTGGCCAGATCTAAATCTTTTATGGGAGATTATGATAAAGAAATGAAATATGAGAGTAATTAAATTAGAAAAATCTAATTGGGAAGGCAAAATATGAATGTGGATAATTGACATGAATGCTTGTACATGAAATATTTAGCAAAGCAATAAAAATGGCATATATATGTAGCTATCATCCTGTAGTTGATAACTGTTGAGGAATTTAGAAGAGAAAAGAGATCATTTTATGGATTACATGATCAGAGAACCCTTTCTTGACCAGCTAGGACATGCTGGACCTTAAGGAGTAAATGGGATTTTGATAGACATAGATGAGAATGAAGGGCATTTCAAACCATTTAAATGAGGCAAAGAAACATGAATTAGCATTTCTATAGCACACTAAGAAACTAAATTCATTTTAATTTTTTGAGATTAAGAGTAGATGGCCATGTTCTATGAACAACAAAAGAAAATAACTCTAACCCTTGTGTTTAGAAAGTTCTTAGTGACTTCAAACCCAAAGACACATTAGTTTCACAAAAGGATCTGGGTCTTCTGACACAATTTAAAAAGCAAAGCCCTGGCCTCTTAGGGTGTATCCAGGCCAGAATTGATGAAATGGCTTTGCCATGTATAGGCTAGAAGAGCAAGACCAGATGTCACTCTGGGAAGTAGCTGGGAGAGCAGACCCAAGATGAAAGTCAGACTGTATAGGGCCAAATGATGCTAGACCATGGGGCTTCTGCTCTCAAGAAGTTTATAATTTAAATAGAGCAGTGGAAATCCATTAGATTAACAGATACGTTTTTAAAAATGCCTATGTTCTGTAAGGGTTGTTGTAGTGTAAGGGGGAGGAGTACAGGTGGGAGGTAAAGGAAAACTGTCTATAATCATTCTGAACTTGATATGAATGAGTTCGATTCCCCTCTTCCTCAAGGTAATTGAGGGAAAGTGATGTTTCTTTGGATAGAAAAGACAGCTAATTTTGCAAGTTTTCAGAACTTTGAGAAATAAAGGCCAAATGACCAAATGGCATAAAAAAGATACCAGATACTTAAAAGTAGGGGGAAGAGTTTTGAACCAAACAAAATCTTGTGCCATTAATAATTACAGAAACAGCCAAGATTTGGCAATCAAAACTCCCATGGTGACATTTGGGAGAACATGATAGTGGGTTATAAGCCGCAGTAAAGGGGATAAGGAAGGGGAAATGGATGGGGAGGAAACAGTAGGAGGGGCTAAGCTATTTATTCAAGAACTTAGATTTTAAATGGACTCTTGGGATTAAATATTTGTAATTACCTTTGAGAGTACAAACATATGATGTTGCATGAATTTTCATCTCCATTCTTTAAAGGTTCTTCTTGATGACAGCACCATCAATATCACCACCATTGCCTCATCGCGTTATGTTGGTCCACTGAAAACTCGAGTTGATGAGTGGCAGAAACAACTTGCTTTATTTAATCAAACACTGGTAAGTAAGGATAATTTCAGTTCAGGAACTCAAAGAACTGGAGCGCCACCGGACCTCAGAAATCACTTGTTCAATCATTTAAATATTATATAGTTTAGATGTAATATTTAATTGATGACATTTTAGTATGTTCAGAATATAAGAAAAATGCAAATATGTTGAGCTCTTCTTTACATAATTATACTATCACCCTGTACTAGTCATTATTGCTGTGAAACAAAATACCACAAACTTAGTGACATAAAACAATATACATTTATTATCCCCCAGTTTCTGTGGGTAAGGAGTTCAGGTGTGGCTTAACTGGGTCTCCTACTTAGGGTCTCATAAAGGCTCAATCGAGATGTGGGCCGGGACTGGGCTCTCATCAGAGGTTCTAGTCAGGAAGGATCCATTTTCAAGCTCACTCAGCTCAGGTTGTTGGCAGAAATTATTTCCTTGTAACTCTGGGACTAAGGCCTGTGATTTCTTACTGGCTGCCATCTGGAGGCCATCCTCAGCTCCTCCATGTTGCCCACACATTTTTTTTTTCTTGTGGACTGCCCCCGACATGAAGACTTGCTTCATCAATCGAGCAAGGAAGAGAAAGTCTCCTGGCAAGATGAATGTGCACATAACTGTGTACATCCTATATTACCTTTGCCATATTCTACATGGCTGGAAGCAAGCACCCAACACTCAGGGAGAGGATCACACAAGGGTGTGACCACCTGGTCTTCGGGGCCACCTTAAGAGTCTTGCACAGCAACCTCTTATTTACTGGAAAACTACTCACTGTTACTTGAAGCCTCCTTGGTACCTCTCCTTGAGGTACACACCTCCTTTTTATTTTAGCCTACCTCAGATTATCCCATAGTAAAACAAAGAACCCACTTACACTGATCTCAATTTGTGCCCATCCAATCTCTTTCTTAGACTTCAGATTTTTAGCTTGATCTAATTATGTTCAGGTTTCTATATATCCTAATATGAAAAGTTATCTGTGAAATAATAAAGATGTATGAAAAGACAACCTATTCCAACTTTGTTTCATAGAAATCTTTTTAGGAGTCCACCTTCTTCAAGGAACACTTTGTAATCTGACCCTTGTCCAGCCTTCTGTACTGATGGCTGAGCCCTATGAGGGGACGGACCACAGATCAAAGTAAAGGACATGTTTTTATAGAAGATCCTTAAAAGAACCCAGTGCTGAATAGTGGGGACCCTTCAGAGAATTAACTGTATAGAAAGTGTGAGACCTGAGATAAACCAGGGAGTGGTTATGACATTAGAACTTATGTGTAACCCCCAAATGTAGAGTGAGCAGTGAGAAACTCTTTCGTGGGTCTTGGGTCTACATATGCAATGGCAGACACAGAGAAGGGCAAGGTCTACACACTTCAGTTCTTACACTGCATTTCTGGTTTCTTTGATGAATTGTGATTGTCTCTAAGTGGAGAAGCAATGAGTGATGTTCTTCTTCCTCCCAGTCTTCTGTATTTGCTACACATTCTGTCACAAGCAGGTTTTACTTTTTTGATTAAAGAAAATGAATCATAAAGGGTAGGGATATCTCAACATAATAAAGGCCGTATGTGATAAACCCACAGCTAACATCATATTTAATAGGGAAAAGCTAAAACCATTCCCCTTAAGATCAGGAACAAGATAAGGCTGCCCATTTTCTCCACTTTTATTCAATATAGTTCTGGAAGTTCTAGCCACAGCAATCAGACGAGAAAAAGAAATAAAAGGCATCCAAATTGGAAAGGAGGAAGTAAAATTGTCATTATATGCAGCTGGCATGATACTATATATAGAGAACCCCAAAGACTCCACCAAAAAAACTATTACAGCTGATACATGAATTTAGTAAAGTAGCAAAATACAAAATTAATATTAATAGTCCCATTTACAATTGCTTCAAAAACTATAAAATACTTAGGAATAAATTTAACCAAAGAAGTAAAAGACATGTACTCAGAAAATTATAAGACACTGAAGAAAGAAATTAAAGAAGATACAAATAAATGGAAACACACACCACACTCATGGATAGGAGGAATTAATATAGTTAAAATGTCCCTACTGCCTAAAGCAATATATAGATTCAATGCAATTCCTATCAAAATACCAAGGGCATTTTCCACAGAAATAGAAAATATAATCCTAAAATTTATATGGAACCGTAAAAGGCCCTGAATAGCCAGGGCAACCTTGAGAAAGAAGAACAAAATAGGAGGTGTCATGCTACCTTTTATCAAACTATACTACAAGGCTACAGTAATCAAAACAGCAGGGTACTGGCATAAAAACAGACACATAGACCAATGGAACAGAATAGGGAGGCCCAGAAATAAATCCATTCCTATATGGTCATTTCATCTAAGACAATGAAAGCAAGAATTTACTTTGGGGTAGAGACAGTCTATTCAATAAATGGTGCTGGGAAATCTGGACAGACACATACAAAACAATGAAGCTGGACCACCTCCTTACACCATATGCAAGAACAAATTCAAAATGGATTATAGACTCAAATGTAAGATCTGAAACCTTGAAACTCCTAGAAGAAAATATAAGAAGTAAATTTGCAGACATTACCCTTAGTAATATTTTACTGATATATCTCCTCAGGCAAGGGAAGTAAGAGAAAAAATAAACATATGGGATTACATGAAACTAAAAAGGTTTTCCACAGCAAAGGAAACCATCAATAAAACAAAAAGGAAGCCTACTGAATGGGAGAAGATACTTATCAATGACATATCTGATAAGGGGTTAATATCCAAAATTTATTTTTAAAAAAAAACTCATTCAACTCAACACCAAAGAAACAAACAACCCAATTAAAAAATGGGCAGAGAACATGAAGAGACATTTCTCTAAAGAGGACATACAGATGGCCAACAGACATATGAAAAAATGCTCAACCTCACTAATCATTAGAGAAATGCAAATAAAACCAACAATGAGATACCACCTGACTCCTGTCAGAATGGCTATCATCAATAAATCAACAAACAACAAGTGCTGGTGAGGTTGTGGAGAAAAGGGAACCCTGGTGCACTGTTGGTGGGACTGCAGATTGGTGCAGCCACTATGGAAATCAGTATGGAGGTATCTCAAAAAGCTGCAAATGGAACTACCGTATGACCCAGCAATTTCACTCTTAAGTATCTATCCAGAGAAATCCAAAATGCTAATTTGAAAAAATATATGCACCCCTATGTTTATTGCACTGCTATTCACAATAGCCAAGACATGGAAAAAAATGAAATGCCCATTGGTAGACGACTGGATTAAGAAATAGTGGTACATTTATACAATAGAGTATTGCTTGGCCATAAAGAAGAATGAAATCTTACTGTTTGCAACGATATGAATGGACCTAGAGAACATTATGCTAACTGAAATAAGGCAGTTGGAGAAAGACAAATACCATATGATCTCACTTATATGTGGAATCTAAAGAACTGAATAAATGAACAAACTAATCAGAAACAATCTCAGAGATATAGAGAAAAAATTGAGGGTTACTTGATGAGAGGGGGTGGAGATGAGGGAGAAGGTGAGGGGATTAGACAGCACAAATTGGTAACCACAAGATTGCCACAGGGATACAAAAGACAGTTTGGGAAATATAATCAATAATGTTGAACAGATTTTGTAGGGTATCGGAAGGAAAACTTGTCTTATTAGGGAGCCCACTTCATGGACAGTGTAGGTGCCTGACCACTGTGCTGTACACCTGAAGCTGAAGCTGAATAACACAGAATGTCAACTATAATTTTATATATATATATATGGTCACAGGATGTAGAATACAGCACAGGGAATAGAGTCAATGGAATTGTAACAGCTACAATGTCAGTGGGGTAGTAGATTGGGGGAGAGGGGTTATCACTTTGTGAGGAGTGTAAATGTCTAACTATTACACTGTTTTGTACACCTGAAACTAATAAAAAAAAGTGGGGGGGAGGGAAGAATATACACATAATGGAAAAAAAATTTTTGATAATCCTTTCTATATTTGGAAATAGTAACTAGCCTTACCACTTCCCAACCCTTTAGATTTCTTTAAATAAGCATCTTACACGCCCCCCCCCTCCCTGGCTCCATTCTGGTTACCACACAGTAGATTCATTATAACTCACTCAGTAGAAAATGGGTTGAAATTAGGCTGAAAAGAGTCTTGGACCCTTTAAGGAGGTTTCATTTCAAAGGACCTATGAGAAGTCCCCAAAAGGAAAAAGATACAGTGAGTCTCCATGTCATTATTTTTAATGTAACTAAATGTTTTTAATTTTGGGTTAAAAAATTGCCAATTTCCATATTTTTCTCCTAGGAAGAGTGGCTGAATTGCCAGAGAAACTGGCTCTACCTAGAAAGTATCTTTAATGCCCCAGATATTCAGAGGCAGTTGCCTGCAGAGGCCAAGATGTTCCTCCAGGTGGATAAGTCTTGGAAAGAGATCATGAGGAAGGTGAACCGGCTGCCTAATGCACTTCGAGCGGCTACTCAGCCAGGTATAAAACAAAAGTTTAAAACAAAAAGACTTTACAATTATCTAAAATGCTTATCACCTGTAAGACTCTAATAATATGTGACACCCTCAACCCCTGATTCTAGTCAGCTTTGATGCCCAGGAATATTTGTAGTACATTTGACTCTCTTGCAATGTGAATTGAACACTGTTTATTATTATTATTATTATTATTATTATTATTATTATTATTACTATTATTATTATTATCTCTCAGCTTAGTTCATAGTTTTGGTGCAGAAGAATCTGCTTCTTTTTGCTATCATACCTTTTTAAATAATTTGAGTATGTCGTCAAAGAGTGTCAGTCATGCTTTTATTTCACAATTTTGACTACAGGACATACAACTACATTCCACTGACCCATTCTGCTCAAGGTAGCACAGACTTATAACCATACAAATTTCCATACCTTATTTTTAATTAATTCATTAAAACCAGTTAAAAATATTACCAGTAATTGTAATTCTAATGTCAAGGTTGAAATGTGTTTTAGTAAGTTTTGTTCCTAGGCATATAGAACCAAAGTCTTTTCAGGGGCACATGCATAGTTATTGAACTTTATGCTTTGCCTCAAAGCCTCAGCAAGCTTGCTTGGGGTTCTGCAAATGGCAACATATAACCTTTCCTGGTGAATACCCCCAGACAGCTCCCCTGCCAAGCAGGGGCAGCCTGCTGGCCTATCCTCTTTGTCCAAAGACTCTTACATAAAGTAGAAACAGAAGGGGACACACTATATGGTATGATAGAATTGAAAGCTTTAAAACTTGGGGGCTTCTAGAGGCTCCCACATGCCTTGACTCCTGATCCCCTACCGGCCAGCAGCTGCATCACTCCAACCTCTGCTTCTGTCATCACATCTTTTCTGCCTTTGACCCTCCTGCCTCTGCTCTTATAAGGACCCCTGTGATCACGTTGGGCCCACTGGATAATCTCCCCATCCCATGATCCTTAACTTAATCACATCTGCCAAGTTCCTTTTCCCATATAACCTAACATAATCTCAGGCTCTGGGGATTAGGACACGGACATCTCTGAGAGGCCTTGGTTCTACCTACCCCATCCACTTAATGTGTGTATTCAAACCTTTTGCTGTAAAAATATTAATGTGTTTGATTACCAAGTGCTGCCCCAGTTCCTATCAGACTTATTCTATAACTTTTGAAATATAAAAAAAAAATCTGACTTCCTAGAGATTTCAGGTAAAGAAATGTAGACCTGTATATATCACTTCAGATTATGATAAAGCTGCGAAGAAAAACTAAGCAGAGTAAAGGGGCTAGAGAGTAGCTGGAGGCTGCCCTGTGTGTGTGTGTGTGTGTGTGTGTGTGTGTGTGTGTGTGTGTGTGTG